CTTCATTCCGCGCCCCGCCCCGCCCCGCCGCGCGCGTCCCCCTCCACGAGGCCCGCGTCTTCCGTCTCGTCCGCCGCCGCGCCCTGCTCAATTCGCGCATCGAGCGCTCACGCCTTTAGCTCCACTCACTCAGAATTTCGGAAAGCATTCAATAGAAAAAGTGTATAAATATTAGTACGTGTTACATTTCACAGTTAACATACAGAATGTTATTTTTATCTATGATGCGCCACTAATGTTTGATTAGCGCGCTCTGACAGCCGCTTTTTTATGAACACAAGTGTTTTAAGAATTGGAAGGTTCGGGAGTAGAATGGGATAACTCAAACGAAAATGTTTTGAAGTAACAGGAAAGTGAATATTTTGAATTAAAAGGGGTTTAGCTGTGACTGAACTTAAACTGAACTTACTCGAACTCTTCCTTACAAAATGTCTCAGATAATCCGCAAACAGCAACATCAGATCAATGAAATGCGCACACTAGGAATTACTGTGCGAACTTAATGTTTAATTCACTTCCCACGTGTGCAGTTGTATTTTTCCCCAATCGAACAGTCATTTTATGCTAAACGAGCGAGTAAAGCGGGTGCTTTTTTCGCTCTTTCAGCAGTTTGTTCTCTTATGGCGGCGGCCGTGGCAAAGACGGGTTCGCCGCACCGGAAGTTCTTGCGCGGCGGAAGTGACGCAGAATCGCGGCACCGCTGCCCTTTCGTGCGAGCGCCTAGACATGGCTGGTCGCTATCGCCCGCGCGACGCGAGCGTGGGCGGAGGGGCAGGGGCAGGGGGAGGGGCGGTGAGGGGGGACGCAGTCGCAACTACAAGGTCAAGTGCGGACGCTTCTTCAGCCGCCTTAAACGGGCGGTTTAAGGCTGCTCTCTTTGATCCCGATCTGCGTTCACAACCTCAATGTGATTTCTTAACGTACTGGACACGATTCCACGTTTTGTTTACCCTCCAATTATTCACAGACATGAATTTTTTTCATACCATTTATTTTTTTTTAGGAAAGAGAAATACGAAATCTTTTATTTTCAACTAATAAAAATTGTACATTTTTTCCTGCAAAAAATGGGCATTCGAAAAGAAAATTTCGTTATTTTTCTTTCTTGAGGTAATCGATTAGCGACCCCAGCCCTGCCACCAGGGTCGATCTCTGCAACCGCATGCATAAACCGCCAGAGAGAGAGGGGGGGGGGCACATGTCGAAAAACTGCTTGCGGAAATCCATTCCAACCATCCCGTTTTATCCTTCTTCGCTGACTAAGCGGCATTATTTTTGTCTCGATTTGTCGCAGCCTGCCAATATTACAACACGGTTATGACGCATTCGCAGAAAAAACTAACGACTCTGCACATAACGAAAGACATCGGAATGTTTGCGTTTGTCGATTAGCGTATTCAATCATAACGCATATAGCGCAATAATGTTTCCTCGTTTAAAGAATCTTGAAACTGCATATGAGCATATTTTATCAAGCTATTGAACCGCGGCAATCTCTCGTGATGAACCAAACACGTGGATGAAGACGTTATTCGACAAGACTCGTCCCCGGCATGCGGAGGCAACGTTCGAAACCCGTGGTAAAATTAGCAACAGCTTTTGTTGCGCGTTCGGCTCGCCATAAAGGTTCAAGAAAAAAATTCGCCGCCGTTGCCACGCGCCCTTCACCTTGATCCCGCACGCGCCCTATAAATACTCTCCGGGCGGCGGAAGGGGGTGGGGCTGGGAGGAAAAGGAGGGGAAGAGCGGTAAGGGGAGGGGATGCGCGAAAGTGGCGGTGGCACATGCGGCCGTGGGTTGTGTGCCACACCTGGGGCAAGTGGCGCTACGCCAGCACACGAATAGCAGACCCGAGAGATGGGGAGAGGAGGGGAGGACGGGCGTTAGTGTCACACTCGTCAACCCCGCCCTCATCCTCATCCTCATCCTCATCCTTTCTGGTCTGACACTGAAGTACTGTTTTGTTGTAGTTTGTAACTGTAGTATTGTTGCTAAACTATCGATCTATTATGGCTTCACGTATGATCATCTAATTAGTAATTTGTCGAAATTATTCTAATAATCTCCGGGTAACATAATAAAAGTGAAGTGTCAAGTTACTATTCAAATACATTTAAATAATAGCATTTTCCTTAACACGTACTGGACGATCAATCTTATAGAAGAAAATTATGAACAATACAGTTGTTTCTAAACAAGTTTTAATAGATTTTTTTGCAACATATACAATATTAATATTCCAACACAAGATTGTCAACTGGCCCTGTGATGTTCAAATTTTTGTTGCTTATAAATCGGAATTTCCATGAAATTTTTTGGCGCCATTCAAAAGTCAATCACCCGCTTATTTTTATCTTGGAACTTTATACATCAATATGGCTGCTAAGTTTTATCAACGTGCATCTGGAGGAAGCCTATTTTTGAAGAAAAGCATTATCATATTTATCTTGTTTACGTTCGGTTCTATCTCAAGGAACTTGACTGTCTTCGTTATTTTACAACAATAGACCTTGGATAGTGTCTAGAGACACTCAAGTCGTGCCAAGTGGATAAGGAAAGACCTAGCTGAAATTCTCCCGATCCACTATCATTCTCACGACAGTTTACAAACAGCGTGAACGTTCTTTTCTTGGAACACAGTACCAACTTTCTATGTCGTACAAGACTAGATGCGAAAAGAAGTCTCGCGTCACACACTCTGTTATACATTGGAGGAACTTTAATACAAATTATCGGTTACAATTTTCCCTTCGTCATGACACAATTGGCGGTGTGAAAATAATTCAACGCGATAAAGCGGAGAAAACAAGATATTACTTTTTTTTATATATAATCCGACTCATCTGCGGGTCGGGAGCTATCAGAACCAGAGGGGGCGGGGCGGGGAGGAGGGGAAATGGGGGAGGGAGGGGAGCCCGGAGGCGTCGGGCGTCGCGAGCATCACGTGCCTCGCTGCGAATTGGCCGAAGGCTTGATACGCCAGCGAACGAGCGGCGGCGGCCCGGAGGGCGTGCGCTTGCGGCGTATTCCCTATCTGCAGGCCCGCAAGCCGGTAAACAGCCTACGTAATTTCTTAACGTTTCGCCCCGCGCCGCCGCCACGCCCTCTGCGCGCCCAAGGCCGGAGCGCCGCGCACGGGGGAGGGAGCGGCGGCGGAGAGATGAAGAGGAGGGGCCGAGTGCATGTCAGGGGTGGGGCCAAGTCAAGATGAAGGGAATGAGGGAAGTGTTGTGGGATGATCCAGACCTGGCCGGCGCGGGGAGAACATCAAGTCTGAGACTCAACACTGCGGATTCAAACCAGACCGAAGCCGGGGATTTTTAAGGGCGAAAAAATAGTGCGCATTCCCGAGGGGAAGTACAGCCCGCTGTCCCAGGTTGTAGATTTACTGTATAAAAGATCTCAAACCTAAAAGAAGCCCCTGAGTTAAATTCAAAATATCCAGTTTTGCCGCCCGATTAATGCTTTCTTTCTCCGCTAGATGGTGAAAGGAGCGTAGCGAAATTTGCTTGGTTAGACAGAAGAGCGGCCTAATGGCCCAAGTCTCGCCACATAAAATAAGGCATTAACTATCTAACTTAAGACCTCGAACGGTGCAAGGAAACAATTTAAAGGGAAGCAGCACATCGTTTGATGTGGCCCGGGGCGGGACGACTAGTCTCTTCACGTCTAGAGGAACCATCAGCATCTCATTCCTAGAGTTCTGTAAAGACGATTCTGTGTTCTTTTGACAAGAGCTGACATGAGCTTTCGTAGGAGAGGTAGGGACGTACCAGGCACGTACGCATGCGACGCTGAGAGACTGGACTTGGGCGAGTTCGCGTAACGAGAGACGCGCACTGCAACTTCCTCCAATGACTTTAATGCTACCCAGTTGACTGCTCCGATCGCAATGGTGTGAAACATGCAGAGGAATGTCAATAACTCCAACACTTTGACAACTAGAATTTTAAATATTTCTTTACAAACTACCTTAGCGCTAATTTGTCTGTAATTCAAAGTACATTAAGTTGAAATATTAGACTTATCTTTTTTTTTTATTTCAGGAATATCTTTTGTTTCTTCTTGCAAATAAAAGAATTGGAAGAACTGATTTTCAAAGTTAACACATAATGTAAGGATTATTTTTTCAAGTGTTCGAGAAAAAAAACACGTTTGGGCAAGATCATATGCATAGCAAACGCCCGAATTGAAACCTAAATTATCGCTGTAAACATGAGCCAAGAATGTCAACAATCCAAATGGTCGAGAACGAGTGCCCTCCTGCCTTCTTTACATTTTAAATTTCTTTCAAGTAAAGTACTTACACTTAAAACAATGGACACGCAATGCGTACACAAACCTGTTACAAGCAAACGCCAAGAATCGCTGTCAGTTGAACGCACACATTTTTTACTGTGTTCGTCAATGTTTTATTTCAATGCAAACACGTACGTATCTATAATACTCAATCTACTTTTTAATATCCTATCAATACCACTTACTTAACAAAAGTTCCTCCACCCAAACACTAAAACAGTCACATTTTCCGCCTACCTCTCTAATCCCATCTGCCCTAGTCCGCCCCCAGACCTCACAGATGTGTTTTCATTCAGTCGTTTCGCGCCGACCTATTATTCCCTTATCTTATCAGAGCCCCAATGCGGCGGCGTTGTCATACTGACACGGTTGTTTCGCTCTGACCCAGAGATGGCGCGGGCAAGGGCGCGGTTCGCGTCTCTTGGCCGCGGAGTGGACGAGGAGCCAGCCGGCGTGGCGAGGCGTGGCGTGGGTCATTCCACAAAGATCATCGTCCGCAGTCGGTTGGCCGAGGGTGTATGCACTGACCAACGCCACTGCGACTTCCTCTCCTCTCGTTCCACTCATTAAGCAGCCTTGCCCGAAAAGTGAATATGCGCGCGTGCGTGTAGGATGTGACACGGAGGAAGATATACCATTAATATACAAACAAAATAAACTTCGTGATATTAAAGAATTTCAGTTGTTGCAGTTCGATTTATCGGGCAACTGCTTTTCATTTTTAACCTGTTTTTACTGCTGGATGTTTTGGCCATCTGTCAATGCAAGTTTCTCCGAAATATTCTAGAACCACATTCAAGATGACACACACGCTTTTATTTATAGCATTGCTGCTTCTACGAAGTGTCAGAGGAGCATCTTCTTTCCCGAGCGTCGCCTCACAGCCCGAGGTGAAAGCCAGCGTGGCGCCCCGAGGCGACGCGAACACCGCCGCAACCACAGCGCTCTTTACGAAAAATTGGAACAGCGTCGCGCGAAAAACTTTCCAGAGTCCGAGTCATATGGGCAGTGTTCTCGATTAGCGAAACGAAGAGAGAGAAAAAAAAATTGAGCGCCAACTGTCGGAGTGGCGAGGGGAGGGAGCGGGCGCTTTCCCGAGGCCCAACTGGGACGATATCGCTTCGCAGGGCGCGTACTGCGGCGAGAAAGCCGCGGGGGTGACCTCGGCTGGACGGCGGCCAGGGCACGGGAAAAGCAGAGCACGGCGACAATACAGGATGTCCACCAGAAAGCTCCTGTGAGTTTCCTACATTCGCGTTATTTCTAAGAAAAACACCAGTAAAACCAGTAAATAACGTCAACTACTTTGTTGTTTACCGTGTTAATATCCATCCAAACCCTACTTTCCTTAATTGCAGAAAACGAAACTCGTTTTAAGTAATTAAAAAGAACGGTCAAGATTAAATTGATGGATTTGTGAGTTTAAAATTGAGTAAGATCGACTGCTACGAAACCCACTTCTTACAGATAGAAGTCTTAAATCATAATAGCTCATTAAGAACAATTTAGAATTTTAAGATATAGTCATTCTGACTACTGAAACCATTGTTATTTTCCATCTATTGTCAAATTTTGGAAGGTCTTCCTTCTAAAGATCCACTTTTTAATTCTCTTTTTTTATGCTCTATTCAAACGCACTCCGTAGTTGTGTCTATAAAACACGCTCTTATTGACTTCACTTCAAAGACAAAACTTTTTGTTCGAAATTTTAAAAGTCTGGAATATGCTATTGCTATCGAACATATACAATTCCGGGTTCGAGTACACTTGTACCATTAATGTTCTTACAAGAGCGTGTTCTACAAACACAACCTTGGGCGCGTAAAAGAACAGTAGCGAGCAAACATTCACACACTACCCAAAGAAATAAAGAAAACATCATCGTCTATAGAATAATAGTTAAAAAAAAATTGCTGGCCATCAAATGACAATATATGAAATGTTTAACTAAAGTAATACGAACTTTAAGGAATGAGTGCCATAGTAGCTAAAACATATATTTTCACTTTATTTCCATAGGACAGAGTTTGCTCATCACTGTGTACCCTTCAGCGTGCACGAAGGGGTATGTTAATGCTTAAGGAGACCAAGCACAACACATCCGCACCTCCCCCTGCATATGCATCTCGAATGCTGTTTTTTTTGACTAAAATTTTATATTCGTAATAATTAAAACTATTTCTCTGTTACGAAGTTTTGAGTTTACTTCGATAACGTATGTTCAATATTGCAACATGAATAGGGGGCGAGAGCGGCATAGTGCTCCTCGAGACATTCCTCCACCCCCGGGGCACGCCCACGTCCGTCACAAACAAGCGAGGAGCTACTCACTGGGCTGTCGAGCCGCGGCCGCGGCGAAGTGGTGCTGCGGGGGCGGGGCGTGCGCGTGCCGGGCGGCGTGCGCGTGCGCGTGCGCGGGCAGCGCGTGCCCGCCGTGCGCCGGGTGCGTGTGTCCGCCGCCGCCGCCGCCTCCTCCGCCCCCGCCGCCGGGGGCGTGCGCCGCCGGGTGGTGCGCGGGGTGCGCCGGGTGCGGGTAGTAGGGCGCGAGGAAGCCCTGGGCGCCACCGTTGGTGGTGGCGGCGCCGTGCGGGGCGCCGTAGCCGTGCGGGCCCGGCCCGGGGCTGTCCGGCGTGCGCGCCGCGGGAACTGGGGACAGACGGGCACCCACACCCTGCTCTCAGACCCGTTGCCGAGCGCGACAACATACACTCCTTTCACAACATCTCAGTTTAAAAAAATTACTTTCAACCCATTAATTCAGCACAACGAAATTATCTTATATTTTTTTATGCTCTCCGAACACGATTTCCCATTTCTTTACTTTTTTCTGTTAATTTCTTTTTCGACAAATTCAGAAAATGGATTTTCCCGAAACATCCCGCTCTTTATATTGTATATTTAAAAAAATCCTTTCTTAAAAAACTTATTTTCACCCAACAAATTCAGCAAATGAAATTCCTGATATTTCTTTTAAAGAACTCCCAACAGGATTTCAGATTTTGATTTAATTTTTAATCAATCAACATATTCAGAAAATGGAATTTGCGGTATTCGCGTAATAACTGAACTGTTTTAATAATTTCAGCGCGAAATGAAAAAGAGAACTTCAAATATATTTACACGGGGGTATGAACTCAAAATACCCCTCCCTCAGTCAAACAGATTTTGAATTTGCACCAAATATACATATAGGCTTTATGTGAAGAGGATTGCTTGCAGAACAGTTATATCTTGTATTATGCGATTTAAGTTTCTTTTTCATTCCAATGGTATGATTTGGATAATGGATAATTGGGCGACAGATGCAATGGCTCGGAAAGGTGCAAGGGACGGCGAACACGGGGGTGTGGCGGTGCTGGTTGGTGCGGGGTGCGTAACAGGGAGCGCGCTCACCTGGCGTGGGCTGCAGGCGCGCCTTCAGCTCGTCGTTGGAGGTGTGGCCACTGCTGCTGCTGTCCACGTCCGACACGCCCGAGTCTGCGGGGCTAGGCGGTAGCGAGCCTGCAACAAGACACAAGGCACTCCATTCAATTGACTTCCCTTCGCATCACGACAACAAAGCTCAAGCAATGGACACACACACACACACACACACGCGCGCACACACAATTACGTTTAGCAGGTGACAAATTCATACAAGCGTGGTCATATGCCCTGCCACATTCCAGCAGTATGCGAATCCTGTCCATAAAACAGTTGCAATTATTTTATTTTGGGCTCACGTTGCGTGATCACATCAACTTATTAATTGTGGTAAAATTTCATTAACGTGGATTTTGACGGTGACTATAATTTCTTGCAAATGTACCCTAAATCCCTACCAATTCAGCCCCAGATCAGAAGATATCCCACAGGAGAACGCGGGTTATCACGAAATATACCAAATTAGCGATTTGGGCCATGAAATTCAAAATACAATTCACGCATTTCGATTAAATGAAACGCTCGCAGCAATTTCCAAGACGGGGAATACTGTGAATTGCTGTTATTATCTGCTCGTATTTATCGTAAGTCTGCTGGTTGTAATCGCAACTGGAATGATTCCTGAGCCGAAATGCAGGTCAGACTTGGTTTCAAGTCAGTCAGAGAGAATATAAGTGTCAAGGCTGTAAGAGTGTCAAATGGCCTAATTCCTGGGTACATTCAAAGGAATATATCAGACGTTGCAACTGTACTGAATGAACGGCTGAAATGGAAGATGAACCAAGAGATAAATTATAATTAGAAGTCGATTCGATAATGTGAAATGCTAAATCGACACGTCACCTTTAAACTTGATGCTGAAAATAATGGCAATGAATAAGTCCATTTTTTAAGGCTCAAGTTAACGCGCATAATATTTACTGCGGAAGCAACGAAGGAATTTAAGAAAAAAATCGAGACATCAAGGAATTCGATATCGGAGTATTGAATATATTTGGAATTTTCGAGTTTATGTTCGATTTGTTCACGTACGACTCCTCATCTAACACTTTTCGGAATCCGTAATCCCACACGCGCGAGCACTCCCTCCCTCCACAACCGTGGACGGATGGGGTGGTTGGATGGGGG